ACTACTACTACTACTACTAATAATAATAATAATATGATATTATTATTATATATTTTATATTACATGTAACATTACTAATAATATTACAGTATAGTGCCTTGGACTGCGAGAAGATCCAACCAGTCCATACTCCAGGAAATAAAGCCCGACTGCTCATTGGAAGGAAGGATACTAGAGACAAAGTTGAAGTACTTTGGCCACATCATGAGGAGATAGCAAAGCCTAGAGAAGACAATTATGCTGGAGAAAGTGGAAGGTAAAAGGAAGAGGGGCCGACCAAGGGCAAGATGGATGGATGGCATCCTTGAAGTGACTGGACTGACCTTGAAGGAGCTGGGGGTGGTGACGGCCGACAGGGAGCTCTGGCGTGGGCTGGTCCATGAGGTCACAAAGAGTCGGAGATGACTGAACGAATGAGCAACAACAACAACATAATGTTATAGTACAATATAGCAATCTATAATAATATTGTGCTATAGTAATAATAAAATATATTGTATTTACATTTTACTTGTAAGCTGCTCTGAGTCCCCTTTGGGGTGAGAAGGGCGGCATATAAATAATAAATAAATAGTTGCTGGGATTTATATTTGACCTACAATCAAAGAGTATTCTGAACTTCACCAATGATAGAGTTGGGCCAAACTTTCCACACAGTACTCCCATGACCAACAGAAAATACTGTGTTTTCTGATGGTCTTTGGTAACGCCTCTGACACTCCCTTGCAACCTCCCCCAGAGGTCCTGACCCCCAGGTTGAGAAACATTGGTTTAACTGACCTATACTGTAGCCTCTACTAATGACAGTATTATATGCAGACAAGGGTGCAAGTAGGGTAACCCAAACTGACCCAAGTATCAGTGAAATTTCAGTCCTGTCTTTATATATAAAACAACCTCCCTCCTTCCCCAAATTGTATGCATCATTCAGCTGTTAAATTTGTTATTAAACTTTATGGACCATGGAAACAAGAAAAGTGAACAGCCTTACTACTATAGGAGTATCAAAGAAAGAGGCATATTTCATGTGACGAAATGAAAATCATGCGTAGTTCACGTTTGACCAGTCCACGCACTGTCTTGCCAAAAAAAGAAAAGAAAATATGCCACGCAGATTATCAACAAAGAACAAGAAGTGTACTCTTCATAGTGCAGAGAAACGTTTACGCAATCATTTCAACGGTTGCATTGGCTCACACAATGTCCTTTTAGAGTGATTCAAAAAGGTTATTTATTTATTTACGACATTTCTAGCCCACCTTTCTCAAGTCCGGAGGCGACTCAAGGCGGCTTACAAATTGGCAGCAATTTGATGCCATAATGTAATTAATCCTTTACCTTAGCTGGTTGGCTGAAGCTAAAGGAAGTGGGTCTGGTGAAGCCGGGTGGAAGCCATTTTAGTTAGGTTTTCCTTGAGGGGGTGTGTTCAAGTCTTAGAGGAAAATAAGGAGGCTAGGATTGGCTAGAAAGGAAAAAAGTGTCCTTTTAAAACAGAGGCTTGAAGTCCCAGTTAGGGAGTTGTCTTTTGGAGTTGGAGTTGTTAGAGAGCACTTGGAGAGTTGGTGTTAGTTCCGAGCGAGTTTGGGTTTACAGAAGAAGATTGGGTTAGTCTTTTGTGAGGTATTCAGAGTAGCTATTAGCAGATAGCTAGAATACTGTTGTGGAGCAGGGCCCAGTTAGTGGACTGTTCAATTCCGAGGGAAGTCTAGTTCAGGGTATTTTGGCTAGATTCCTAAGGGGCATTTTTGGGAGTTACTTTCAGAGATTAATTTCCTGAAGTAATTTTCTGTGAACTTTGAAGACTTGTAACCCAGAAGAGTTTAAGATTTTACTCTAACGTAACCACAAGCTTTTCATGCCAGTATTTTCTGAAACCAATAAGCATTTGTACCTGAATTACTTCAAGCCTGTTCAATAAACATTCTTGTTCTTTTATTAACTCATACCAGCCTCAGTGTGTGTACCTTTGTGATCAAAGTATTTCTAAAGTCAGCTTCACAGCAGCCACTAAGAAACTATAGCGGCACAGTGTGTGTTACAGAACAAACTCACAATATTACCTCAGCCTGATTAATACTGGAATGCTGGCAGCAGATTTCATTTGAAGAGGCATTTTAAGTCTCTCAGTTTTAGTGTTTCCCAGTTCCTACCTTTTAAAAGGCCCAGTGTCTCTCACCTTCTCTGCTCTAATCTCCCCTGATATTGGCATAATCAGTGGGATATATTTCAACAATTAAAATAAAGAGAACTTTAAATATACAACTGTTTCAACAACCATACTCCATCTATTGGGGTTCAGCCTGATCCTGATCTGTGTGAACCGGATTCTCTGATAGTTTTTCCAACTGAGCAAGCTCT